GAAATCTTTGCAGTGTTTCTATGATACATGCTTGTTCAAAAAGAAAGAAGGAGGTTGCAATGTTTAAGATTGATTTTGCTAAAGCTTTTGACTCCATAGACTGGGATTTTCTCCTTGATCTTCTGAAAGCTAGGGGTTTTGGCAATAGGTGGTGTTCTTGGATTTTTCACATTATTTCATCCTCTAACTGTGCAATCCTAGTCAATGGTACACCCACAAAATTTTTCTCTTGCAAAAGGGGCCTCAAGCAAGGTGATCCTCTTTCCCCAATGCTTTTTAACATTGCTGTAGATGTCTTGAATAAAATGATTATGAATAATGTTGAAGAGGGGCTTTTGGCAACTCTCGACCTTAAGGAACATCTAAATCATTTGAGGATTCTTCAATTTGCTGATTATACTTTACTCTTTGTCAAAAGCTCCATCAAGGATATTTCTATTCTCGAAGCTATTCTTTATATTTTTGAAGACATATCTGGATTGAGCATCAATTACTCAAAATCATCACTCACATATTTTGGCAATATTCATAACAAAGCTCAAATCTTAGCATCTTCCCTGGATTGCAAAGTTGGTCAACTACCAATTAAATATCTTGGCTTACCTCTCAAATATGGCAAATTATCCAAATCAGATTGGCAGCCTCTGTTAGATAACCTCTACAGGAAGTTGGCTAACTGGAAGAAGAATACCCTATCTTATGGAGGTAGACTGGTTCTAATAAATTCAGTTCTTACATCTGTGCCTTTGTATTTCATGTCTTTTTATAAGCTACCTAAATGGCTTGTTAAAGAAATTGACAAAGTCAGGAGGAACTTCCTATGGACAGGAAAGGCTGACACAAATACTTTCAAATGTTTGGTAAAATGGAAAAAAGTTTGCTTAAACAAAAATGAGGGAGGTCTGGGGATTAAAGACATTGCTGTGTTCAATTCCTCACTTTTGACTAAATGGCTATGGAAGTGCCTAGATAGAGACTCATCCACAGGCAAGTTTCTCCATAATCTTTATGCTCTTGGTTATACAAATCTGCAAACCAGTCTTTCCAAATCATCTTTTTCATCATTTTGGAATGATGTCTTATCTCAGAGAGATGCTCTTTTCCATAACATAAAATGGAAGATAGGTTCAGGAGATCATATTAGATTTTGGGAAGATAAATGGACTGGTTCTAATAGTTTGGCAAGTGTTTTTCCTGAATCATATAAGCTAGCCCTCTCCCATAATGCCACTGTCAGGATCCAGGGTCTTTCTAATGCTCATGAATGGCGCTGGCATTTGTTGATGAGGAGAAGTGTTCATCCTAGTGCTCAAGCTGAAAAAATTTCTCTTTTGAATCTCATCAGAAACTTCCATATTGTTCCAACAAATTGTGATCAACCCCAATGGTCTCTCACTTCCAACAGTCAATTCTCAGTCAGATCTCTTTACAACTTTCTTATTCAGAGAGGTGTCATTTATCCTTTACACAAAGTTATTTGGAATACAATTATTCCCTCTAAAGTTCGTATTTTTCTCTGGCTTCTTTCTCATAATAAGCTGAATACAAAGGAGGTTTTACTTTTAAAAGGCTGGAATGATGATGTTAACTGTTCTTTTTGTGGAATTGAATCGGAATCTAGAGAACATTTGTTCTTTTTATGTCCAGTATGATGTTAACTGTTCTTTTTGTGGAATTGAATCGGAATCTAGAGAACATTTGTTCTTTTTATGTCCAGTATCTAAGAGAGTTTGGCAACACTTTAATTGAATCGGAATCTAGAGAACATTTGTTCTTTTTATGTCCAGTATCTAAGAGAGTTTGGCAACACTTTAAGTGCTACCTCTTACCTTTCTTATGGCCAAATACTTTGGATAAGCTAATGTATATACTAGAAGATCTGAGAGGGACGTATGGTTCTCTTTGGAGGAGCATATTTGCATCAGTCTGCTGGAGCTTATGGTCATGGAGAAATAGAATCATTTTTGATCAAGTTCATTTTTCTATCAATTCTATTATTAACTTGGCAATATCGGGTTTGAATGACTGGACATGTTATGGAAATGGAGCAGCAGCATACAAGGTTAAAGCAAAGTTAGAGGAAAAGCCGATTCAAAGGAGCACATAGATGGGATAGTGAATGTATATTTTGGTTTTAACAGTATATAAATTACTTTTGTAATCTTAGCTTTTGTTTTATATTGGGCTATAGAAAGTTTAGTTTCTTAATACTATATATATGGCTGGCTTTGGTTCTCTCTTATATCTATGTCAACGGTGAATGACGGCAAGGCCCTCTCTTCACCTTCATGGATGTTTGATAGAAGAAGGTCATATATCACTAGTATTGAGAAACCATCCTTTCTATCTTCCAATACTTGGATACATTTCGTATGCTTCTTTTGTATCTATATTTTTGTTTAATACTAATGACAGGGTATATCCCTTGTTTTCTCTCAAAAAAAAAAAATCTTTGCAGTAAGAAAATGAGGTTTTGCCTCAAGAAAATTGAGTTTTTTGTTGGGAGAAGATGGAGAATTTGGAGTTATAGGTCATTTTTTCCACCAGAAGTTGGGCAGTGAGGATATGAGAAGCGAGAAGTTAGAAATTCTAATCGATTTGCAGTAATCCCTATTTTAGCGCTATATCAATCTTTATGTGGGCCCACAAGAGAATTTATCCTACTTCAGCTGCAATTCTAAACTCTAAGAAGGAGTAATTTTTTTAAGAAGTCGTAGTGCCACCTAGGATCCACATCAGCGATTAGGAAGGTAAGGAGAAATGAGACTTTTAGCGAGACAAACAACGTTTTTTATCAGAAGTAACAGAAATAGCATTTATATAATTTACTTCACCTACTTCATGACTATTTCCGTGCAAATAACAGGCCCTTATCTTTAAGGACAGGAAATAAATTGGCTTTTAGATTTTAGAATGGCCCAAGGCTACAAGGTCACCATCAATATGAGGCAACACTCAACTGTGAACTCACCTCTTTAAACATGGCATCAAATGCAAAATGCCACACATGTCAACACGTGGGACCCACCATTGGATTGATTTTGTATTTTCCCAATAAAAATTTAAAATAACCGTTAAACAGAGTTATCACTAGATTTAATCTCAATCACCTATCGTTTTAGTAGGAAGTTTGGGTATTTTAAAATTTTAATTGTAACATATTCTCATTTATTGTACTCATTCTCACTTTATACTAACAATTACAATTTAAGTAATAATCGTGTCCAGTAGTGTAGCTAGGAATTGAACTTTTGGGGCATTGTTATCTCCTTTTGTAAAAATATAAAAATAAAATAAAATTTTATTAGAAATTGTGTTTGATAATATCAAGATTTTCTAGAGAAAATACAGAGTCTTAAACATGAAAAATATATAAAATAATTATCTATAAAAAACGAATACTCTCAACTCCAAACTTATAAATAGAAATAATTAATACAACTAGCTCCTAGAAAAGTAATGATATCAAGCTTGAAAATAACATTTTCAAACTGCTCGACAATTTTTCATATTTTGAAATCATTACATACGTGTATTACTAACTAATAGTATGCAATCATTTGTCTATTAATTTTTGATACGGTGACACAATTTTGTTTTCTCCGTATTCGTACCTAAAATGCTCTCTCAATGTTGTTATTAAACCAATAAAAAATATTAAAATGTTAACTTATGATAGAACAAGGGAAATTGAATTGAATTTCGTTTACTAGTTACCAATAAAATGTATATTGTCATAAGCTGATATCTTTGTAAATATCGAAGAGATGTAAAATCAAGCAACAAATATGACTGATATCTTTGTTTAGATCAACTCTCAATTACAAAAGCTGATATTTTTGTTAAATCTTTGTTTAGATCAACTCTCAATTACAAAAGCTGATATTTTTGTTAAATCTTTGTTTAGATCAACTCTCAATTACAAAAGCTGATATTTTTGTTAAATCTTTGCGATCTTAGAGCATCTCCAACAGCTTCCCTGTTTTATTGGTATTCTCACTTTTGGAGAATTTTGGGTTTTTTTTTGTCCAACAGATTCTCCATCCCATTCCCCAAAATAAGGATGGAGGAGAAAAAAAAGAAGAGTCTTCTCCAAATTTTGGGCATTCTTCAAATATTTGGGGAGAGCTTTGTCATAAATACAGCACCTTCTTCAAAACAGGATGAAGGAGAAAATAAATATAAAACAAAATCTGTAATTACAAAAAAAATCATGGGGGGCAGTTCCAATGCATAAGAGCATCTCCAACAGCTTCTCTATTTTATTGGTATTCTCACTTTTGGAGAATTTTGGGCTTTTTTTTGGTCTAATAGATTCCACATCCCATTCCCCAAAATAGGGATAAAGGAGGAAAAAATGAGAGTCTTCCCCAAATCTGAGGCATTCTTCAAATATTTGGGGAAAGCTTGGTCATGAATGCAGTATGTTCTTCAAGACGGGATGGAGGAGAAAATAAATATAAAAAAAAATCCGTAATTACAAAAAAACCATGGGGGGCAGTTCCAATGCATAAGAGCATCCAAAAATAGGAATGTAGAATATTTTTATTATTGTAATAAATACAGGATTCTTCAAAATGGGGAAGCTGTTAGAGTTGGAGCAAAAATAATTTGAAAAATATGACTTTTGCTTCCCCATTTTGGAAAAAATTTTAGGGAAACTGTTGGAGATGCTAAAAGCATCCAAAAATAGGGATGTAGAATATTTTTATTATTTTAATAAATGTAGGATTCTTCAAAATAGGGAAGCTGTTGGAATTGGAGTAAAAATAATTTAAAGAATATGACTTTTGCTTTCCCAATTTGAAGAAATTTTTGGAGAAACCGTTGGAGATGCTCTCCATTAAATCTGGTCCCATTCTTTGGTCCTCTCTAAGCGTCTCCGTATCCCCACTCTCAACTCTTAATTAATTAATCCAAAAAAAAAAGTGGAGGACTACCAACTAACTAACTAACTAACTAACTTTCTTAATCCTCCCCACGCCCCTCTCCATAAAAACCCCCACGATTCCCCAAAATTTTCGCCAATTCCCGAAACACCCCTCCAAAAATGTCGAAATCGCTCTTCGCCCTCTCCCTCCTCCTCCTCCTCCTCTCTCTCCCCAGTTCCCTCTCCCAAAACCCTAACCCTAGCTCCACGGCCTACAGCGAGCTCAAATCCTACGGCTTCCCCGTCGGGCTCCTCCCCGTCAACGTCGCCTCCTACTCCCTCAACCGCACCTCCTGCGACTTCGCCGTCCACCTCGACGGCCGCTGCCGGATCACGCTGCCGCCGGACAACTATCTCGCCTCTTACGAGAGGAGGATCACGGGGAAGCTTGTTGGAGGGAAGATCGCGGATCTTGATGGGATTAGGGTTAGGGCTTTATTCCGGTGGTGGTCGATCTCTGGGATTAGGTTGAGTGGCGATGATTTGGTTTTCGAGGTTGGTGTTGCTTCGGCCAGGTATCCGGCCAGGAATTTCGATAAGGTGCCTGAGTGTGAAGGGAGGGCGCCCAAAAAGGCGGATTCTTGAGGTGATTTGTGCTTTTTTTTTTTGCTTACACCTTGTTTGGATGGGGGTTAATGGATGGAAGTTAAAGTAAAAATTTTAATTTTACTTGTTTGAAAGTTTTTTTAAGGGGTTAGAGCATCTCCAAGAGCATCTCCAAGAGCGATCTTAGGTTTTTCCTATATTTGAGGAGCAAATCTCTCATCCTAGGAAACAGGAAGCCAAATAAGGAGTAAGTGCTCCAACAACGCTCCCCAAATGGCTCCCTATCTCATGTCCTAGATTAAATATAGGGAGTAGGAGCGGGGGAAAGTTGCTCTAACAATGTTTCCTATGTTGAGACTAAATATAGGACGTTACTTTGTTATCATTGATTTGGAATATCAAATCATATTCCCTATATTTAGTCTCTAACATAGGGAGCCTGTTGAGGAGCAATTTTTCCCCCTCCTACTCCCTATATTTAGTCAAGAACATGAGATATGGAGGCTGTTGGAGATGCTCTTAAGGGGTGTTTGTTTTAAATCCTATAATTTTAGGATATAGATTTCACAATGGGATTTAAAATCTATAGGTGTTTTGTTATGGATTGAGATTTCTAAAATGTTGTTTGTTTCATTAATATTTTGGGATTTGGAATATTATAACTTATAATATTTTGTTTGTTTCAAGCTCAAATTGTAGCATTACCAAATGTCAAAATTTTATAATATGATGAATATGCTATCTTGGTGAGGTTACCTCCCACAAAAAGACAAAATTGAGATTTGTCAAATCCTCTCCAATTAAGAGATAAGCACACTCATTTATGGGATTTATCAAAATCCTCTCCAATTGAGAGGATTTGACAAATTCTAAAAATTAGGCACTTTTTGTATTTTTGGGATTCAATATTCTAAAAATTTTTTTAAAACAAATACCATATATGGAATCCCAAAATACAAAAAAACTCACTTTTGGACCCCAAAACTTGTAATCCATACCAAATACCAAAATATTTGGTGAAACAAACACCCCCTTAGAGGATGGAATAGAAGGTTAAATTTCCTTCCATTTTTCTTCCCTCCAATTTGGGGTAGAGGATGGAATGGAAATCAATATAAAATTTTAAAATGTGATAAAGACAATTATATTCTTACGACATTAAAATCAATGGCTAATACACTCCCATTCAATATGTAGGGTATTTATGTAACTTTATATATATTCATTTCACTTCTCTCCTTTTTATTAGAACTCTCAAACAAGTTCAAACAAATTTACTTCCATTCTCCTTACTAAACTCCCAAACAACATTTTATCTTTTCACTTTCATTCTTTACATTTCCTTTCCATTCTTTACCTTTCCATCCCTTTCCTTTGTAAACTCCCAAACAAAGCATTGGTGATTTTTCTAAGCATAGTTATTTCTACTAATTGGTTCTTAGGGAATGGTATGAAGTTAGTGTTTTTTTTTTTTTGTAAATATGAAGCTATTTGCAATACATTTGTTAAATAACCAAGAAATTGAAATTTTATTAACAGCGAACTGCAGATAATCCCTTTATCTATAACTTCATCAGTAGACTTATCACCCCTCAACCATTTTATTAGCTTATCACCCAAGGATTGGTATTTTTAGGAGAGAGTAAATTGCAGATAGCCTCCCTATACCTCATGAATGTAGGATTGTTAAGCACTACTAAATAGTTGAGGGTTGTCTACAATTTACTCTTTTCTTAATTTTCTTTGGTTAAAGAACATCAACTTGGTTGTAATTGATTGCATAAGTAGATCATGATAAAGTGTAGTGAAAAAAAGAAGAAGAAAGAGACATTTAAGTCATCGCTAAATGCAATAAACCTCTGATTGTGAGTGTTACATTTGGGAAAAAGAAAATAAAAGTTATACTAATGCTTTTCTGGAAATTAGAGGTTTCTTAATCTTATATAGGATGGTCCTTAACTGAGAATTTTCCCTAAACATTTTGGAAACTTCATTCATTTGGAAGGTAGACCTAGTGATGGGTTAAACAACTATAAAGATCTTATTCGACCTTACAGCAGCATGTACTTTCTTCAATTCACTAAAGGAGCTGTGATGCCAATGAAATGGATGTCAAAATTCCACTCTATAAATTAAAACGATGATCGAAATATATATAGTTTAGATTGAGGAAAGATATTGAGTGGTTTGTTATATTGATTGTCCTTCCATGATCTATTTGTCAGGCTACTTACATTATATGTCTGTACTGTTTTGTGGTTTGTTGTGTGACTTGTGTCCATGATTCTTTAACTTAGTAACTCCTTAGACATAGAATGCTAAATTTCTTAGATGTTGATGCTAGGATATGACCATATAATTGTTGACCTAGAAGATGAAGAGATCTTTTACATCATAGACTAGGGGGATATTTCTGTTTTATGACCTTTGCTTTTAACATTGCTAGATAGCATATCAGGGACGCGTCAACGAAGTATTCAATGACCAGAGTAGGAGAGATCCATATGTCTGTAGATGATATGCTTATTCAATCAACTTAACCCGATGTTGAACCCACTGCGGGTGACCCGGACGGTTGGAAGGTTCCAATATGGCTCCCGCGGTTTTGGGTTCGATTCCGGGCTGGGTTAAAAAAAATCCTTAACCTGATATTGACATGTTTGGTGGTTCGTGTTAATTGCAAGTTATGTTGCTTAATTCGTAAACATATAACCATTTAAGAGGGAGTTGTGAAAAGTTATTTCTGCAAGTGATTTAATAGTGTGCGCAGATTTGATGTTAAATGTGTGGACTTATTACAGTAAGGACAACAGTTAGTGCGTTAACATAATACCCCAACATATCCTTGTATTGCTCTCAATAGATGATAACCATTTAGCAATGTGTAATCTCGGAGATGACCCCATGAAATTCTGTAAGTATCTACAATGGATCCAAGAGGTGCTCCTTAACTTATTTGCTGTGAAACTTTGCTCTTATAAGGACTAAGCCCCATGTGACACTTAATTTTGCATGATTCAGGCTAGTGAATACTACTTCTTGGAAGTACCTCTAAAGAAGTATCTCATCGTCATGATTTCTCACTCCACCATGCTTAGCTAGAGAGTTTTTTTTCTCGTATTTCGTAAATGCAAGCTACATTTAGTTCTTTAGTTCATTCATTGAGATTGTAAAATACTTTAGTCAATTAGAGAATTACAGCCTTGCCATATACTCTACGGTTAGTTCTTTAGGTGAATCTCATATATCCCAGATGAGACCCCACTTATTTAAGTGGTGCCCCTGCCATACTCCTATGTCCCATAACATTTTTCTTTGTGTAGTTTTAACTCCCTGTGGTAATACTATGCACCCTTCTGACTAATTTGGGTGCATATAGTATGCCTTTGAAAGAGAACTTGGAAGGAGATCAACCATCATAGTATGCTTTAGACCTAGCAATCTCGATTATTGAACTTGTTTTTGTTGTTCCTCCGTAGAATTAGCTATTATTAACTTTTGAGTTAGTGAACTTTTATATATGTGAGTTGTCACCTCATTTAGCAAAATGAGCTGTACAAGAGAAAGGAGTGATGAGATCCACCTACTCCTAACTGTCACAGCCTAATTTTCCTGTATATGTATGCATATGTGCTTGTGTGGCTGTGTGTTCATCTGTGGGGTGTCACACTCTCTTTTAGGAAATTACATCTTCGTGATGCTCATACTTTACCCATGTGAGAGTCTACAGGCTTTTCTCATGGATTCTTTATAGCCCGGTAGCCCCTATTACAACTTGTATACCGTGGTGATTTACTACACAACAACCAGCATCTGCAACACTTATTATCACTTCTGAGTATTAAAAGCTTTCATATGGTCTTGATACTCTTTGTAACACCTTCGAATAAGAATTCCTAAGAGGTCAACCCACCTGTTCCCTCACTCAGGCATGCTTGAAATATGCATGTGCTTTACTATAACATGCTTAACACTGAGCTTTTAACATCGAGCTTTTAACACCGTTCTTGTACAGAAATGTTGGCTACAGTTAGTTCTTGAATTTACTGGAATTATATATCAGTCATAGTGTGCGACATACATTTGCAGTTTAAGGTGTGACCAACATGCCACACTAGGACTTCATGAGGGAATGCAGAATTCTATAGGTGAACTACAGATTCAAGATGTGACCCCATCATGTAGCTTCCTGTGCCTCTTAGCTCTAGTATTTCTGGGTAGTATAGATTCTAATACCACATGTAGCGAGATCCCTCCAACATTTTGTCCATGCGTGTACAAGTGCAGAAGCACTAACTTGAACAGGATCTGTGTTTCGTGCAAATTGTGGGCAACTAAGAACCAGTGCATATGGATTTCTAAGATTTTCATTGTTCACATGAATGATGAATCACAACAATGAATTCTTATGGGTTTTAGTGTCTTGAGTTTCATATGGTGAAAGTGAACACCTTGCATAGCATGCGGTGTTAATTTTAAATAACACACGCCAGAGTCAATGTAACCAAATTACTTATGATGTCAAGAAAAAGTATAGGTGTTTCAATATACAAATAGTTTCCCGCCAAATAAGAGAATTTTTTTTTCCAAAGATCATTCTGACTTTAGAAAACTCTATTACTTAGTATTTAGATTGTTGCTTCAGTGGTCAGGAATTCAAGGGCAGATGACATCAGCTACATAAACTCAACCCCCAGATGCAATTGATAACCTGCAGCTTGTTTTCTAGTACTATATAAACTAGATATTGCTCGTCTAAAATTTAAGTGACGTACGAATCTTCTCACCCTTGACTAGCTCTTGCACAGGATCTCCAGCCCGCTATTATGATGGGGGTTCCTTGTATGTGCCCAGCATGGCGTTGATGCCTGATACAAGGTTACACATCATTCGTATATATCTAAGTTTTAGTATTGTATGAAATGTATTGTATGAAATAAAGGTATCTTAGCATGTTCTCATGAAATGTATTATGTATTGAAGAATGAATTGTATTATGTATTGTGTTCCTTCACACCCAGCTTCAACTTTCAAACTAGTAGTTATGTTTATCTGAACTGCTAAATACAGAATTTGGTTCTGATACCGGCAGAGTGTTTTTCCAATATCTGCAGCGTGCAATTGATAATATACTTAAGCATTGTAGAGAGACTTGTGCATGTTCATCAACAGATTAACTTATCAACAATACCAGAAAATTTTAAATACAGGAAGACAAGCTTAAAAGTTTATACTGACAAAAGAACTGCTAAAGTGGTTCTATATCTGGAAGGAAATATTACTGTTGTAACTTATCATAAATGTGTAATGATTCTTGTAATTTATAAATTTTTTATTCGAAGGTCGGTGTCAGAAATCTGTTCATGGCTTATTACTTGTATTCAGTCCCTTTGGCATTGTTGTTTCAGATCTCAGCAAACATGATTTTCTTCTTTGATCTTATAGTTCCTGCTTCTATTTAAAATTTGTTGCCTTGGACAGTTCCATCCCAACAAGCAAGCATCTAGGTTTTAAAGTGTCATATGTACTTCCGCGCAAGCAAACAGGCCCCGAATGGAATGTTGGAATTTGGAAATAGATATGTTAGGGAATTTAGTTTCCTCCCTCCAGCATCTAGCTTTTAAGGTGATTTCTCATATATTTTCACAAAAGGTATCGGAGCTAGCTCCCCATATTTTCCAGTTGCAAGTGAACGACATGGGTATTATAGGGGGGACAAAGGTTTAGTCCAATGCCAGCACACATGGATATCAACACTGCAGAAGTATGATAATATGTCGGATTAATTAGTCTCATATCGACTAAATGGTAAGTCGCCAATGGATAGATGTAAAATTTAGAAATGACGCCTCCTGCGCAGCCTCTAATACGAGCTGTAAGCATGGACTAATGAAAGTCACCCAGTTTCATTTCACCAAGCTGTCTGGATTTGTTTATGTTAATGCAATGCACGAGCAGTTCTTGTTAGCTAGTGACCAGTGCATGCAGATTATGAGCCCTGTGCTGAAATTGGATGCCAAAGTCATTGAGGCTGCTCGTGGACATGATAGCATGGGTAATGTCGGCAAACTGGTGTTTAGAAGCACGCGTGTGCATGTCGTTGGGTGCACATTGTGCATTTCTGTCCCAGCATTTCTCTGGGACCATATAAAACACATATCCTAGTCCGGGATGCAAAATAATATGAATAGCCATGTCATATTTGCATCTCATGGGATGCAGCTGGGAATATTAAACCTCTGTATCAGTTAGGATGTATTTTGGTAGAATATTAAAAGGCATATGAATGCTTGATATGCGTATTAATCAGTCGGTTGAAATCGCTTTGATTTTAGATTAGTGGATCTAGAATCAATTTTGGTGACCTAAACACTAACCTTTCATTTCCTTTTTCATCAAGTCGATGAAGTTGATACGAGGAACTTTGGTTCATTGAAACAGCTGTATATTACATGATCTATTCATTTGGTCTATATGTTTTTCACGTATTTGTTTATAGCTGTATATAACTTCCTCTCATGTCATCTGTATTCATATTCGATTAGACATCACATGGATTATGGGTTTTTCTTATCGAGCTATGTTCATATTCATATCTATATCTGTGATTAATATGCATATACCAATATTATCCTATCTGCTTATAACTTCATCCCCACACTCACCACACATCCTGTGTGGCCCATTGCGAACTAGTTTGCAACATCCAAAACTGTGGGTTGTCTTCCCCTGCTTCGACATAGCCTTTAAGAAGATCTTACTCGTTTTCTGCTAAGATCTCATCTCTCTCATGGTCTCCTGTCATCTTTCTCAAACCCTTGTTGCTTCTTCCTCTGTTCTAGTGGTCTACACAGGCATTGTTCTTGTCTTGGTGAGAGTTGGGAGAATTCAATGCCGAAATGCTGGATTTTAGCTGATCCTACAGAAGGCCTTTTTATATTTAAAATAATATCGGGTGAGAGTTGGAACATAATACTATGTCCTTACATATATATTTTTAAGTTGGTGATTGCATTGATATGATATTCTAATTGAAATAGAATCGTAACTCTTGCACTAATATTATCTACCGATTGCACCTATTTAAAAATCGGTACTGGGAAATTTATCGCGTTCTCCTTTTTTCTTCTTCTTGTATGACCGGACTTTTGCTATGAGTTGGGCAAATGGACTCTTTATAGAATATCAGATACGGAGGAAGGAGGGAGTGAATGGCAACAAAGACGAAAGTTTTCTCCATTAGCCCCCTCTGTATATCATGATTTGTGAAATGTCAGGCATCATTCTCTCTGCTTATTCCCTATGTGATACTCTATAGAAAACCTGATCTCGAAAGCATCTGTGTACTATTTGTGTGATCAGGACCAGCGGCATTAAAATGTTGTGCTTATGCTAAATTGTAAGCTGACGCTTTGCAAGGTTTTCTCTGTCAAGGGAGTTGGCATACATTTAAAACCAAACGAGGGTGGATGAGGTGATACATTGAATAGTGGAGTAAGAGCTTATGGTCCTTGTTGGTTTCCTCTTCAAAAATATGAGCCAGTCAGATGCACTGCGCATTCTCATGCGTTTGTCTTGATTTAGTCGTGTGACTAAAAAAGCACGCATTATTGTTTCCAAGCTCACAGTAGTCAATGTCTTTGTGAGGCAATGAGGAGGTCATTTTGAGCACCAATTTTGACTTCCAAAGCAATAGTTTTGGTCCTTATGGATGTAAGTGGTGACTGGAGGCAAAATTACTAGATTGGTATATTTTGTTGACCATGAGTGACACATCAATATATTTTCTTATTCTGACGGTAATTTAGTATATTATGTAGACTACGTCGACAAATTGACATATATTTTGGTTGGAACCAAAAGTCTGGCCAAATTGAGTCACGCGACTTCGCACATGCGGTTGATGTGGATTAAGTGAGCTTACAAAGTAGGGTAACTAAAATAAGAG